AGGGAATTACCTGCAAAAATTGAAATTGGATACCTCTCCTACCCAATTAGAGCTTATGAATTCCCTCCGTTGCAGTGCTATCGATGCCAACGATTTAAACACTCTGCTAATGGATGCACCAGCAAGACGCAGACCAGATGATGTCTCGTGTCGTAGAAAAATTTTCAAATGTGCCAATTGTGGAGGGCCACACAAGGCTAACTCACCTGAGTGCGATTTGGCACCAAATCGCACTGGAAGTCGGAAGAGTTGGTCGTGATGCACTCAAGGTAAGGGCTGTAGGTGTGCTTGGAGGGAGTGCTCTGGGGTGTCAGCCACCTCAGGCTGATCGGGGCATGTGAGTGTTGGCAGATGTTCACCATGGGTGGGACAGTCCAGGTTATGTGACTGATTCTTTGTCTTATAGTCAGGTTGTTAGAAATAGATCAATTGTTGATGATTCCTCAGCTTCTTTGAATACTTCTGCTCCGTTGTTAGCACAGTCCAGTGTTGCTCCGCTACCAGCTGATTTCATGATTCGTTTAACCAACTGTCCTGCTGATCTGTTCTTGCTTTCTCTGCATCAAGAATCTCTTCTAAAGTCTCGCTCACTGATTACTACTGCAGTTCATATGCATTTTAGTGATGTTTTGACTGTCTCAAACCTATCTGCTTCCAAATCTACAAATGTATTTGCCCCCACTGATCATACTCGTGTTGCTATTGAGAAACACACTGTAGCTGCCCCTACTGATCGTGCTGTTGTTGCTCCTGCTGTTTGTGCTGTTGTTGCTCCTGCTGATGGTCCTGTAACTCCTGTTGTTGCCTCTGCTAATCATGATGGTGTTGCTAGTGGGATAAGCTCTCCAACACCAGATGAGGTATGTTCGATTGGTGATGAGTTTGGGTCTGGTCTTGGTGTTGAAAATTTTAAGCTGGTTTCAAATTCGGACATGTCTGGTGATGATATTGCATCTGGTAGGGATTGGGTTTCTGTGGTTCCTGAAAGGCGTAATGGTCAGAATGGTGTCAGTTCTTTGTCTGCTTCATCAACAAAACCCACTCCGGTTTAGGCAATGGTCGTCGTGATCCTAACAGCAGTAGCAAGTTGCCTTTGAGTGATGCTTGTGGCAGAATAGATTGGCACATGGTGGGGGTGGGGTTTGTATTTGATTAATTTAAGCTTGGTTTTAATTGCGAAGTCGAGGGAACTTCCTAATTCTTACTATCGTTGCACCTCATTTCGAGATCTTTAATCACTTCTACTTTGCCACGAGGTTAAATCAGAAATAAAATTTTTTCGTACTAAAATATTACGTTAACTCATCAATTTCTTGTCCTCTGATACAAATTAGAAACTTGTCAGGTTCGGCAGAGTGGCTATGATAGGCACGATGATATACGGTTCTAGCGTCGAAACAGCGAACTAGTTAGCAAAGGAGCAATGACAACACAGGGAGAGAAATTCTGTAGTTAATATATTCTAGGAAATCTAGTTCAATACAATCGGCCAAGTCGGCTTAGCTAGACACGAATTTTACACGGAATATAGTCCTATATACGGCAGCACAAAAATCACACTCTAGTACAAGGTTCGGGCCCTGCTCCTATGAAGCTTTGACAGAATTGACACCGGGCAAATTCCTGACACAGTACTGGTTACAAGATACAAAGTTGACCTATCTACAAAGTTATTTCGTTGCTAAGACACCTGTCTACGGTAACAAGAATAATTTCTTAGCTATATTTCCTCGTAGTACATCACCAGAATTTGCGAAGATAAAAATCCCCCAGTGAATCCGAGTTCCGGGAACTTGCTCCAGCGGTGCCCTTGGATGACGACCGGCGGTATTTAGTAATTTGTACTATCGCAGTCGGACATAGGTTTCTTCGCGGTTGGGTGATTCTTCTCTTGTAATACGTGGCCATTGGCTTCCAGACTAACTATCTCGGCAGATATAGGTTTCTTCGCGGTTGGGTGATTCTTCTCTTGTAATACGTGGGCGTTGGCTTCCAGACTAACTATCTCGGCAGTACATCAGCCGAACCCCTTTCTTGATGCTGTCAAACACGTCTCCTACTATCCCTATTATACTGGAGAATCTCCAACACGAGACTTCCTCACAGACTCTGGTGATCCAAATTCCGCACACAACACGATGTCTTCTCGGCACGCTGGCCGACCCGCACTGAGCGTAGACTCCTGCGTTTCAAAATAATTTCCTCGAAATGAACCGGGACGGACAAAACGAGACGAGAAAATTCCGGGAAAAAAATAACGGGACAGAGGGTAAAATTTGTCCCGGAATAAACGTATGAACCGAGACAAGACTTCTGTCCCGGACTTAAAAACTTGTGTCCCGGTAAATTATGAACCGGGACGAGACAGACAGATTTGAAGCGAGACACAATGATGTATTACAGATGAAAATCATGAAATTGATCTTCTTGCTTAGGTTATCCAAAATCTTGTCCGCAACTTTTCCTTGAGAAATTGTGTCTCTGCGTGACAATTTAGATGACATTCCTTTATCATTTCTCGTACCATCTCGTGTCTTCCGGGCATCAGGATAGGATAACGAAATTCTTCTTTGTTGTCGCTGTTTGTGATCGCTGTCTGTGTCCTGACTTATTATACCATCAGCAAATTCAGCATCAGGACCTTTCACAATGGAAAGTCTCTTGGTGGAGTTCTCGTCTAAGCCATCCTCTTGCATATATCTAATCACGTGTGACTCTGCACGATATACTTCCGACAAACTTAATTGCTTCCCAAGTTCCCATTTCTCAACGTGATTGACATTTTCCTATCCTTCAGGCTTCAGCCTCGCTTCGACGCTTCAGGTACCTAATCGATAAATCGTATCCACCAGGCGACCATTCTCACATTTTTGTTATAGGAAATATATTTGAGAGGAAAAATTCTTGCTTCAGTTTTCAAAACAATGTTAGCCTTTGTGAATCTTTGTTCCAAATTAACCTGATCCTCATCTGTGGGTTTGTAGGATATGCCGATATGAGCTTTTGATCACGAAATTTGAGCCAAGTTGGGCCCTCCCACCAGTTTGATGCTGCTAGTGCAAATTCTTCTGGACTGCATCCTCGTGAAGGAAGATCAGCTGGCGCTGGGTTCATCTGACCAGAAACTTGATTCTATTGCATGCGCACGGGTTTGGTTAACTCCAAATTCTACAACTTTGAAATATGTTGCTTGGCACAAAACATGTGAATGATGTGATTTACATGTCTATTGAGGTTTAACCTTGGGACTCACTGATGGGGAAAACCTTGTCTTGTCCATCCAAATCTTGTCCCCCCATACCGCCATGGTGCAGAGGGTGGATGCAGCGTCGCCAATATATGGGTTTTTAAGCCCTAGGCGTCGCCGGGTAATTTTAAGATGCGTCGCCGGGTAATTTTTAACGAAAAGCCATTTACACTGAGTAATGAAAAATGATTTACAAGCCACTAACTTATTTACAAGGTTACATGCACGTATTACCCCAAATAACTAATTTTACCCTAAAAACAGTCCGATTGTACAGCAAGTGTCAACTGATTTGAACTGAACATGTGATAATGCAGCCTGACCACTCTAATGTGACCGCAACTACGTAATCGTAAACTTTATGTTTACATTTTTTTGGTGGGAACTCATCGCAACTGATTTCCGGACAAGCTTCACTGCATACTGATCAATCCAACATACCGGAAACCTTACTTTTTTTAAATAGTTGGCCGAAGACTGACAAATATATTAAATGAAAGAATTTCAATCTAAATGTGTCGCCAAGATCTTCTGAAGGCATAAATTTTGCTACTGAAGCGTCGCCAAAGATCCTTCAATATTCATCCACTCTCTGCACAGTGGCCATACCGCAACTCGCAAGGGCCAAGGCCATTACCCAAATCCATGCCAAGTGTGCACCACTCTTCACAAGAGCTGAAGAGCTTCATAATCTGATCCAATAATAATATCAATATCACTCCATTTTACACAATTGGTTGACAGATAACTAACGCAGATTCCATGTTTCCCAAGCCTTTCTGATAACAGGCCTGTGCCCTGCTGACACACAAGGAATGCCTCCTCCGGCCTCCCAACATATTCTTCTCTTGTAGTGTTATTTACATCTTTCCCTCTCTGTCCATTCCCGTGATAGATACATTATGATGGAAGGTCTTCTAAATGGAGTAACACTGCCCTGAGCCCTGCCATAGTGCCATCCGCAACACCGCAAGCACGTCTCTAGATAATTCCTCTCCCACAGGCTGACTCTTTATAGTCTTTAATTCCTTCACTAAGGATGAGGTGAAGGAATTAGGAGGAGCTCTACACCTCCCAGACACCTCATGTTAGACATTGAATATGTACAATTTTGAAGCAGATTAGGGAATCAAAAATTAATAGATAGATATTGACTTCAATTTTGAAGTAAATTTGGGAATCAAAAATTATTTAGTATTTAAAAATCTCTTGTTAGCCCAATCTGGCAGAATTTTTCAAAATCATGGGTAAAATGATTGTCTCATTATTTATTATTAATGAAAATGAACACCTAAAGACAAAATAAATTTTCCAGCAGCTGCTAAACTGCAGGTTTGCTAAAGTTTTTTAGCTGACAGAGGAGCTGGGCTCTGGAACATTTTCTGTAAAAATACGTATGTACATTTCTGTAAAATTTTCTTTGCTGCTATAAATTTTTAGTGGATTTGCAATTTGAGCAATAAATAATGCAATTGCATCTATCATTTTCATGCTCTAATGTCATAAAAAAATGAAGTTGATCTGTAATATAGTGTAACTCTTAATATCAGAAGTTTTAATGTCAATGCCACTCATGTTACTGGACTTCAACAGGAATAATCTGCTTTATTAACCTAAATTGAACCTCACTTTGTAGCAAGATTTAATAGCTTCAAGTTCAGCTTTCATGTTTAAATACTTAAAATTAAAGCACTTGACTGTGTGAGTAAAGAAACTTTTCAGCATATCTTGATATTGAAAGGGACTTAGGGCCTACAAAACTGTAAACTAAATTTTTTTCTCTCCCCAGAAATCATCATAAATATATAAGCATATTGTTGTGATGGGTAGTTTGCACAGCCGCCAGAATGCTGGCGTTCAGGTCTTGGATTTTGGAGGAGCAAACAATGCATATAGATACCCTCCAAGAATGGGTTAGTCATGTCATCATTCTTTTAGTTCTTGAATGATTAATTTCAAACTTATTAGCTTTCGTTACAAATGAAGTAACTATGTTGAATGTGCAGGAATTGTCCTCTTTTTATGAAAATAATTTAAATCATACTGTTGAATATTTTGTTCTTATATGGATGCTCCCTGTTTAAGGAAGCTTGAGGCTTGATAGCCTATGAACAAATTAAGTCATGGATTAAATTTCCATCATAATGAAATGTAAACTTTGTATGACAGGCAACTACTTCAGCAACCACTTCATCATGGGAGGTGAACGCTTTGACACAGCGGTGCCTGAAATGTATCTTTTTGGAGAGAATATGGACCTGAATTTCCTTGGGTCAAGGCCTTCTCCTGTGAGCAACATATAATACCTATATAATCACTGTGGCATATAGATTTAAATAAAATTATTTGTATATGTTCATAAGCTTGTGCAAATATATTTTCTTGTGTTGCCATTACTATGTTTAAGCCTACAAAACAGACATTTTTTGATGTTGTGAGATACCTACCAAATGTTTCTATAGTCCCATGAAATGATTTTCACTCTGGCTTTATCATGTTTTTTCAGTCTCTATTTACACATCCAGTCATGATTGGATAGACTTTTTCAATAAATTAATATAGTAAAAAACTGAGAAGAGTCAATTTTAAATATGCATTGGGATGGTATTATTGCAGATAGATAGTGATAATAATTTGAAACATAAGTTAAAACTTTATCACAAACTCTCACAGGTGCAAGTTTCTTACCTTGTTTTCCTTAAGACTGCTGGTGAAATGTCCTTTCAATGCCTTAAAAATTTGATTCAAGGCATTTATTAACTAAAATTCCTGCATTAACTTTATTTGCTCATCTTAACTGTGTTTCATTTTTTAATCTCTTTCTGACTTCTCCCTATTCTTTTTTTAAAATCATTACCATATTTTTGTCTATAGGTTCTCCTTGAATTTACTCTTTATTTTAGTATTTTAAAGTTATTTTCCTTGATCTTCTCCTAAGGTACCTATTGAAGAACTATGAGTAGGTTATGGACAATAACCATGAATTATACCTACTTATGTCGCCACATTAATGCTGTTTTCACTCGATGCTCTTGAATAATAGCTTTATATTACTCACAGAATTTGCCTGTTTGTTTTATTACATTACACTACCATATCCATGTAATTTGCATGAGAAAATATACTCGAGAAGCCTAACGACACTTTACTTATTGATTAAAAATAGAGTTTAAATTCATCATTGTTTGCCTAATATAATTTCAGTTCCCGTACCCCGCGCCCTCATCAAGCGAGCCGAGCAAGACGCTCAAGGCTCTGATCAACATCAGGAAGGAGAGCCTCAAGCTTGTCAAGGTCCATGAAGAAAACCACTCCCTGAAGAGCAGCGAGACCATCGATGCTGCCAAGACCACAGACCCTGAGAACAATTTAAAGGGAGCCATAGACCCTCCCGCTCAGCCCGCAGACCAGACGGCCTTCAATATAGAGTTCACTTTTGATTGTGATGTCCGCTGTGCTATCACCATCATGTATTTCTGCAAGGAGGAGAGCACCAGTCAGGGTCTGCAGTGAGTATTGCAGAGCACCAGTCAGGGTCTGCAGTGAGTATTGCAGAGCAGCAGTCAGGGTCTGCAGTAAGTATTGCAGAGCATCAGTCAGGGTCTGCAGTGAGTATTGCCTGTCTCTTATACACATCTAGATGTGTATAAGAGACAGNCTGCATTAACTTGACTCAATCATGTCGTTACATCTTAATCCTGCATTAACTTGACTCAATCATGTCGTTACATCTTAATCCTGCATTAACTTGACTCAATCATGTCGTTACATCTTAATCCTGCATTAACTTGACTCAATCATGTCGTTACATCTTAATCCTGCATTAACTTGACTCAATCATGTCGTTACATCTTAATCCTGCATTAACTTGACTCAATCATGTCGTTACATCTTAATCCTGCATTAACTTGACTCAATCATGTCGTTACATCTTAATCCTGCATTAACTTGACTCAATCATGTCGTTACATCTTAATCCTGCATTAACTTGACTCAATCATGTCGTTACATCTTAATCCTGCATTAACTTGACTCAATCATGTCGTTACATCTTAATCCTGCATTAACTTGACTCAATCATGTCGTTACATCTTAATCCTGCATTAACTTGACTCAATCATGTCGTTACATCTTAATCCTGCATTAACTTGACTCAATCATGTCGTTACATCTTAATCCTGCATTAACTTGACTCAATCATGTCGTTACATCTTAATCCTGCATTAACTTGACTCAATCATGTCGTTACATCTTAATCCTGCATTAACTTGACTCAATCATGTCGTTACATCTTAATCCTGCATTAACTTGACTCAATCATGTCGTTACATCTTAATCCTGCATTAACTTGACTCAATCATGTCGTTACATCTTAATCCTGCATTAACTTGACTCAATCATGTCGTTACATCTTAATCCTGCATTAACTTGACTCAATCATGTCGTTACATCTTAATCCTGCATTAACTTGACTCAATCCTGTCGTCACATCTTAATCCTGCATTAACTTGACTCAATCATGTCGTTACATCTTAATCCTGCATTAACTTGACTCAATCATGTCGTTACATCTTAATCCTGCATTAACTTGACTCAATCATGTCGTCACATCTTAATCCTGCATTAACTTGACTCAATCATGTCGTTACATCTTAATCCTGCATTAACTTGACTCAATCATGTTAATAAATTATTTAGACGAGTAGATTATCGCGCCATGCCTACGGAGGTGCCAACAATGGAGCCAGATACCCACAAAATAACGATGTCGTATCTTCTGCTAATAAGCATCATTTCCATCCAGAACTGAAGCTACAACTTGTGATTAGCGTTAATTTTGTATGTGTGCGACTCCTTTTATACAGTGCAGACGTTTTGTTGTGTATTGAACTCGAAGTGTAGGATACTTAAACATTTATGCTTTCATCAAAATGCGTAAATTTGCAGTACGTAGTATTCGTGAATTCTCAGGCAACCTCCGATTTTTTTTTCTTTCAATTGAAACGTTTTTGAAAAAAGAATTTGGATTGCAATTTCTTTTATTGTGATCTAAAAAGATTTTCATTTGGTTTATAAGTGGAGATATGGATGCTGCATTGCAAGCTCCTATGTCATGCAGAATTTTAAGGCAATTTTCTGGAGCGAGCTCCATAATTGCGTTGAATGGTCAGGATTGCATCATAATAATTGAAATTTAGACTCATGTGTATGGTAAAACTCCCAACTAAGAGAATTGTTTTTATTAAGACGTCTTTCTAACTTCCGAGAAATGAAATGACTGCAACAAAATTTCTTCGCTGTTTCTTTCTTTGTCACTTTGCATAAATTTCTTTGTTACTTAGGTTATTACTGTACACAATTAACTTAATTTAACTATTGTTGTGTTGGCAGTCGACGCACTTGTTCTACCCCGGCAGCCACGACGAGTCGGACCTCCTGTATTTCTTCGAGCGCGACGTGTTCCCTGTGGTGATCCACTGCGTCGCTGAGGAGGGCGAGGAACCGCGACAAAGTCAAGCCACCATCGGCGTCGTGGAGAAACATTCGGACGGCTACATTCTCAAGGCCCTCAAGCAGAAGCTCTTCGTGCACGGCCTGTGCTACCTACTGCAGGAGATCTACGGCATCGAGAATAAGAACTCCGAGTGCCAGAAGAACAGCGACGACGAGGCCGAAGACAACGGCGCTGAGTGCGTGATTTGCATGAGCGACTTGCGGGACACGCTTATCCTGCCGTGTCGGCATTTGTGTTTGTGTAATTGCTGTGCCGACTCTCTTAGATATCAGGCCAATAACTGCCCCATTTGTCGCGCCCCTTTTAGGGCTTTACTGCAGATAAAAGCCCTGCAAAAAACAGGATGTGGAGGCAGTCTCTCCGTGCAGGATGGTGCTGACGTGCCACCTGGCTACGAGGCCGTGAGCCTCATTGAGGCTTTAAATGGACCATCTGTTGCACCACCTGTCCAGCCCTCAGCGCCTACAAATAATGATCTCTACGTACGTCTTCCCCAGTATCCCCTCACCCCCACGTCCAAGTCCACCCCCCACAGGGAGCCTGGGGAAAGAACCACCGCAAATCTCGAGGACTCGACCACACAGACGGAGGGCAACGATCTCCATCACGTCAGGATGTCGGATTTACTCGCGTCCGAAGCTGCTGAAAATTATATCACGTCTCAAAATCCCGGACGGGATTACTCGGAGCTTCCGGGTACAATATCCACGGCTGCTTCGCCTGACACTCGCCCTAAAAGCCGGAAAAATCCCCGCAAGTTTGACCCCAACAAGCGACAGCTGTCCGCGGACTCGGTCAAGATGGTCAACGAACTGCAGGGTCAGGTGCGGCCATAATTACCTTAACCTAATTACCATGACCGTGTATAATTACCATCAATTACCACGACCGTGGATCATTACCATTAATTACCACGACCGTGCATCATTACCATCAATTACCATGACCGCGGATCATAACCATCAATTACCATGACTGTGCATCATTACCATCAATTACCATGACCGCGGATCATAACCTGCAATTACCATGACTGTGCATCATTACCATCAATTACCATGACCGTGGATCATGATTTTTTTTCCTTTAGATGATTATCTTGATCATCATTATACAGGGTGACACAAAAAAAACAGAGCTCACTAAAAGTCTTATAACTCCTGAAATTTTATTCAGTTTGAAACAAAAATTCTATGGAATTATGTACAACCTATGTAGCCAACATCTGCAAAATCTCAATTCTATACCACAAAAACTCTTTGTTCTACAGCCGCTCAAAGATATGTTCCAGATGCGCGCCCCGGCGCTGCAGGCAGACTTGGATTCGCCTGGCAAAGTTCTCAATGACCCTCCTGCACTCCTCTCTCGGGATGGCTCTGATGGCTGCTGTGATGGCTGCTTTGAGGTCAGGGATGGTCTGGGGGTTGTGCTCATACACCCTGTCCTTGAGGTAACCCCACAGGTAGAAGTCTGGGGGGTTCAGGTCTGGTGAGTGCGGTGACCACTCCGGGTGGCACCTGCGGCTGATGAGTCGGTCCTCGAAGCGCTGCTGCAGCCACTCCAGGGATCTATCGGAGGTGTGAGGGGTGGCTCCGTCCTGTTGAAACCACTGGAGGGCTCTGTCAATGCCTCTACGTCGGCCAAGTGCTACCCAGAACTTGCGCAGGACCTGGATGTAGCGCTCCGTGTTCACAGTCAAGGACCGCTCGTCATCGTCCTCAAACCAGAATGGCCCGATAATGCCATGAGTTGAAATGGCCACCCAGGCAGTACACTTGACAGAGTGCAAGGGCCTTTGCAGGCAGTGGTCAGGGGGTGTGCTGCCCCAGAAAATGTTATTCTTAGAGTTAACGTGCCCAGACAGCAGAAAGTGGGCCTCGTCTGAAAACCACATGTTGTCGAGAAATTCCGGTTCATCATCAATCTTGTCTGACAACCACTGGCACATGGTGACTCGCTTCCGCATGTCGTCAGCTGTGAGCTTGTGCTTGATTTGAATCCTGTAGGGATACAGATGGAGATCTGAGATCAAAATTCTTCTTACAGACTNATAATCTTTATCACTTTACCCTCATAATCTTTATCACTTTACCCTCATAATCTTTATCACTTTACCCTCATAATCTTTATCACTTTACCCTCATAATCTTTATCACTTTACCCTCATAATTATATCGTGAATTTGACATTGAAGATAAATGGCATAGTCATGATTTCCATTTAATAAAATTCTATTTGTTCATCCCTGTCTAACCATTAATGGTCGATTTACGACCAATCACTTCTAATCAAGCACCTTTTGTACTATTTTGAATTAATAGGTATTCTTAATTAAAGAATCAGATGTTGCATACTTAAAATGTTAATTTCTTCGTTTTGCAAGTCCATGTTTTATTCCCATGTTCTAATCTCATCTTTATTATCGTCGAGAGATTTTTTTGCTGTCAGAAAAATTGTAACGGAGTTTGTCCTCTTGATTTACTCGGCATATTTACATCTCAATCTATCACTATTTCACAAATTTTGCTTGTTTTGAATTCTAATTACTTCTTATTTTTACTCATTATTTTCTTTCTCTTTAATTATATATATCGTTAGGAATAATAAACTATATTGTTAGGTGATGCCTGTTAGGAGATTCCTTCTTCATTTGCTTTCTTTATTATTTCAGAATATTTGCTTGTTGTTCATGGGGATCATCTTAATTATTATTTATTATTAGTGTTTAAAATGTGCCACTGGTCGGCCTTCGTCAGTGCCACTAATTGGCCTTCGTCAGTGCCACTAATTGGCCTTCGTCAGT